GCCCTTATAGACTGAAATACATTTTACGTAGGACATATACAAAATTATTTTTTCTTGTACACATTCGGTGAAAAGTTACGTCTTCTTAAACTTTTTTCATCTGTGGAAAATTTTTCATTCAGATTTAAAAACTTTTCAACTCCCAGATAATTTTGAACCCACCCGTCGCTACATTTGCACTCAGACTTTCCAAACTGCAAAGTGCATATTTTCAGCGCAAGGCTAATCGTGCATTTTGCATGCCATTAAGAAGAAGAAGAAGAAGAAGTCATACGAAGTTCATGAAATCTTGCGGTGGATGCCGACCGTGTTGTATACTTTATAAGTAACATTATTAAACGAACAGATACAATGCTTTCTGAGTGGACGTTTCAGGGTCTTAAAAATCTCATAGATAAAAACTGTTTTAAAACCAAAAAATGACCATTCCTCAGATAAGAAATCTAAGGAAAAGGTAATGTTTCACCAGGCACCTATAATTCGGAGTTTTTGTTAACAGACATTTCATCAAAGGACGAGCGACGAACATCCAAAAAATCACCCATATGCATATATATATATGAGTAGGTCTAATGAAAAAATGACAATACCACCATGCATAAATTTCACTAACACAAGATAGGCCTATTTCTTCGTTCTTCGTCAAGGAGAACGCAAATAGGCACATGCATGTGAATAATTTTTAAAATATTTCATCTGGATGAGGTCGCGTTAAAATACTTGCAAAAGCCAAAATCACGAGTAGAAACAAACAGCAGGGGATAAGATTTCCAGATATTTTGATTTATGGGAATACAAAAGAGATCTACCTAATAATGGTTGCTTATATTAAAGGTCATTGTACCCTTTTAACCCAGCAGAAGAATTTTGCCAATGATATACCAAAGTAACAGCCCTTGCCAACGCCTAAGACAAACTTTAAAATGAAAACACAAATCCGTGGTTTTTTACTCTAAGAAGTAACGATAGCAGTCCCTTAACAAAGGCTGAAATAATTACCAAAAAGTGTGGAGACTACCTAACTTTCGAAACAGCAAGAATGGAGTCCGTAGACCCTTCTTATGCCAAAAATAAGCTTTTCATCCACGTGTAGAGTCATGGCTTTTCGAAGGACCGAATGTCGCATGAGATTGCAGAAGGAGCAGCATGTAGAAGGGTCATCATAGCGTAGAGCGAAAAAGGCTAAGAGCTGGAGGGTGGGGTACGAAGGATGTTTTTTTCCCATTGTTCCATGCAGCCCGTCGAGTAACCTAACCTACTGTGGGACTTCCAATAATACTATACGCCTCTTATTTGAGGCAAAAACGCCTACTGCAAGCCATTTACCAACAATATTAGAGTTACTCGCAAACGCTTTCATTCCTGTGAGTCTACCTGACTAAATGAGGCCCAGTTGAGATAAATTGTATTAAAACTCTGCTTGCCTACAGCATGCCAAGACCATAGCCAGATATTTTGTCCTTTTACGCCGCAAATGGTCAAAGAGGATCGTTTGAGCGTCAACTGCCTGTCGTTACGTCCACTTCCGCCTCTAGCTGAAATAGGACTCTACGTAGGAAGCCCGCTGTCTGTCCTTTTTAATTTTCTCGAAAACCAGTGCGTACACTTGGAGTAAATCCCCCGGAACAAGGCCTTTTAGGCTCGCTCCGAACGTCTATGTGAATAGTTGAGCTGAACTCCACCAACTACTGTGGGACGACCGCATACTTATAAATTGTCAGTAGGCTCTCAGTAGTATACTGACACTAAGCGATTTACCATACTAACACCATAGGTATTAAATAAAGACCCAACCACACGTGTTCCGCCGGTTTTATGTCACTGTATGACGCTGTACCGAGGTGTTCGGCCCATCAATGGACCCCCTAACGTCCCGCGCCGGCTTTCTGGCATTCGAGCTCCAGTTTTCATGGTGTTTGTTTTAATTTCGTCGAACATCAATGCGCGAACTTAGGGTAAATTCTGTTCTTTGTCTGTTTCAGCCTAGTAGGCTTATTGCCGTGGCTTTTAACAAAAACGGAACGCATGAGGTCCAGGAAGTTAGCCAAAATACTTTTCCGGCCTAATTTACTTCACGAATGATTCAATAATTCACAAGAAAAACGAAATTCCACCACACAGCGTTATAGTCGAGGCGCAGATTAGCACGATGTACGGAGCTCTTCGGAAGTATACGCACACTACTTAAGCCAGGTCAGTAAAAAAATTTTTGTGGTTATGGTGATAACCCGTTCCTGCACTTTCTGGATGTCGGAAACGCGTCTGTGTAATGCTAACTAGCAATAGCACTTTCTTCACTCGATAGAAAAACATCAAATTTCATTTGCTTGTCTTAAGGAATGTTGGCTCAAACGGATTCACACCTTGGGCGTACAGCCGGGAATTGGAGTATCATTGACCGATGTCGCCAATCAAACCAGAAACGGTCATTTCAGTGTTCCTGTGTTTGTCGCTAAACGCCCCTGAGTGAGCTTGTATGGGCTAGGGCGGATAGAGTTCATTAAGCACCACAAATACCAGGTTAGGTTATGACTGGCTGAACCAGACGGGAGACACCAGAATGGGAGATTCATTCCGTACGGAAAACTGGGTCACCGTTTCAGGTCACACTGGACGCCGGCGAGACCAGGACGTGTGAAGCCATCGTAGTAAGCCTACTCCCCTATGGTGATGGAACTTGAAAGCTCGACCGGACCCAGGTGTTACTATAATGATAAAGAAGACTCGGCATCGTCGAAAAAATCATTTCGTATGAATATCGCACTAATGCAAGTTGGTCACTTAGTTCCACGTGATATTGCTCTTCAGTCTAAAGTTGCAAAAAGTAGGCCCTGATTCCATGCATGGAACTGCTGAAGAATCCCTCTCGACACCAAGCTGTAAACGTACAAAGCCATAGTGATGGAAACTGGGGCTCGGTCGGAGCCAGGTACAGAAGTGCAAACATTAAGGACTTGGGCGTCTTATCAGGATTCTTAAGGGCTGTGACATGAACGGACCCCGGAGACATAGAACCGGGACTTGGATCGGATACCCGACATTTATGAAATGCTCCCAGTACTTCTTCTGACTGGGAGAAATCTCATCGAACACTGCCGTACACGTATGAACCTCAACCACCGAAGCACAGCACCCGTCACGCCAACCACCGAGAATCAGGTTAACACGGACGTCGCCGATTACGACACGACAACTGTCAACTAGGGTCACTCGCACTATCCCACAGGGCAAGTTAGATGGGTAAGCTGGCAGGTCACCATTCCAGGTGCATTACAGAAGAATTTCCAAACTCCGTGAGCGGTGTGTCAGACTACTCGCATTTACAGGCAGACCACTTTTCTACAAGTTACGGTGAACAGGAACGCAGTGGCGCCACGGTCTGAGACGAAAGGAAGATGTGACCACGCACGGCACAGCAGGCCAAGCCGACCGCAACATCAGCTAGGCAATCAGCGTGTGGTGCATCATCGAGATGCCTTTGCTCATGCGTGCGGACCAATCGGTGGCCGGTCGAGCATTCGGATCCTGCAACGAGGGGACTCTCGCGTGTAAATCGCCAGTCCTCAACCAGCAATCCACAGGTCAAAGTGCAGTAAGAACCTTAGGATTTAAATAAATAAGGCGAGTTGAAAATCGTGTTACGCAGACTAACAGAATAGGACGATTTTTTCCACTCGTCGGAACACAAGAAGCTCCGGTAGGGATATAACATGCAGGACCACATGACAAACCAACACGCAAGGTCCCCTTTAACATGGGAATGGTGCTAATTAGGGGTTCTATGGGTGAATAAAAATGGCAACAACAAGGGGGAATGTAGTGGAGAGACAGGCAAAAAGCAATAAATAAGCCAAGTTATTTTAAGTAGTCCAATTAAGATAACAAAAGTAGAGCGCAGTTCAAAAATGACATCCTAGCAAACTGTAAAATAACAAAATGCCCCCAAATTACATGGGCCTCGTTTTGCTGGAAAGGCAAGGCCTCCTGAAAGCCAAGCAATAGCCGAGCGTAATCCGAAAATAAGAAAGCGGCCGCTAAGGTGGTCGTATAGGCCCTACTCCCCTCCTAGCACCCCCCCACCTCCAGGCTCTTAGCCTGTCCGCTAACTCCCCCCCCCCTAGCACAAATCCCACGGTCCTATTTCCAACCCCAGAAGTTTAACAGCAAGCCGTGCAGTAACCCGAGACAGACTGATCGAGTCCTAACTCGCAGTATTACATGCGTACCTAAATAACATAAGTAGCCAGCCATACGGTAGAAAGAAAGTGGCCCTTCACATTAAATGTTTACCGAGGTTCCTTTGAAAATAGGCGACCAACCGCATGGTTGGACAACTGACCATATAGAGACAGGCATAGTAAGGGATAAACTGAAAAGAGAAGCAAGTTTCCACCGTAAACGCATCGCGTGAACCAACTTTTAACAAAAAGAGGGGACCCTCTATCCCTCTGTGGAGTTGAGGATCCACAAAAACCCGAAGACCTCCCAGGGAAGAACTGGACGCCCATGGTTTGCTCTTCAGTACGTGACTCATTTTCAACCCTGCTCGAAGGTGTGTGGAGCATAACGAGATGCAAACAATGTGAGAAATAGTCTATTTGAAATTCTGGCGTGATTAATATTGAGTCATCATGGTGAATGGTCGCTGTTATGCAGACTGAGGCTGCCGAATGGAAAAGCACAGGCACGGGCGACAACGACCCAGAGAGGACTGTGACAGCGAAGTTAAGTGGGTTGGCAGAGATCCGCCGGTGAAGCGGAAGTGACACAACTGTACACAAGGGGGAGGGGGAGCCCGGCCCAGGGGCTGGCAGGCGATGCCGAGGTTTTAGCGGTGATGCGGCGGATGAGGTGAGGGTGCGTAACAAACAGGAGGACGAGGGCGACATATGGAGTTGACGGAGGAGGGATAAGGTTGGAAGGGGGAGGGGAGGAGGAGGAGGAGGGGGAGAGAAAAGAGGTGCGATGCGCGTCCGACCTGACCACGAATGTAGGCCAGTCTAAGCGACGTAGTGGTAGGTGGCTGTGTTACTACTATCCCTCTTCATGTATTCTCGTTCAATCAGATTTTCAATGCGCTTCTTTACGTCCGACGCCTGAAATGAATTAAATATGAGGAGGGAGAAGTAAAAATAGGGGACGTTGGACGTTACAGATAAGATTACCAACATAAAGTGACCTTCAGCAGCGTGCTGCCCCAGGTCGTAACAGGATAGGAAAGTCAAATAACACCGTTAGTGGTTTGTTTTTACAGAAAGTGGTCGGGTTAATGGGACAGTAAAGAAGGCACAGAAGAACATGAAGATGGCCTGACAAGAATGGTTTGGGCAACAATCCACAGAAAGTGGAACAGGGTAAGAAAGAAGAGACTTGCCTTGAGGGGGAACTGCAGCTGCTTGTAGACTTCAGTGAGGAGGGCATTATGCTCGATTGTCTTGCGCGTCTTCATGATGCGTACAATACAACAGTCCACGTGAGCAACGCGATCGGCAAATACACGCTCCTCCGTCTCCTCCTGTTCTTGTTTCTGCACGCGAAAAGACATGCTCTTAACGTCATTTGGCTGCGCATTTGACAAAATGACACAAAGTATATCAGTCAAACAAAACGGTCTGCCCGGGTTGGATCGTGTGTCTGCAAATGGCAGAAACGAATTAGTCAGATCGACCTGTCTAATCAGGCATGACCAGGAAGGTGATGGGGCAATAAGCTACTGTCCTCCTAGTGGCTCGTCCGATCTCACCGCGCAGATGGGTGTTGTGCGGTGACAGTCAAGGGCAGAAATACGTGGCAATGATGGACTTTAGGAGAAGACTGCATAGCTGATGCCAATTTTCAATAATAAAAGACCGATCCTAAGGAAACCGCGGGTTTGCTATCCGACTGCAGCTCGCCATTTAAACAAGAGACTACAAAACTGCGGACTGACCGGTCAACAAGTATATTCTGACACCACTCCCACCGAGATTATTTATTCAGTTTGATTTACTTCGTCGTGTTGAGGGAATTTCCCGCAGTCCAGCAGTAAACAAGTTCTCAACATACTATCTGCCCCACTCCCCTTCCCCCTTGATGGCCCTGCAGTCCCCCGACGGGAGCGATTTATGCTAACGGTCTGTGCGCATTGAAAGCGTCAGTGGATATGATAAAATTCAAAAAATGGCAACCGCCGTAAGGCTAGTACCAAGCCAAAAGACGCTCCGACTAGCCTTGACACTCCTACAAAGTTTTCTTGCACCTAAGTAAGAAGGTCACTCAAAGGTCCTGACTAGGTGACAATCACCGTTAACAGCTTTTTAGAACAAACTGTTTGACCCCTGCTAGACGAAAAAAAAGTGTCCGCACGCAGGAACTTCCTTTCAGTGGCAACAAATTGTCTCGCCGAGCAAAGCGGAGGCCTCTGTTGGGTTTAATTGCAAGGCAAGAGGATAAATAAGTGGGAGGATGGGCTGGGTGTGAGACTGCCTCGTGAAGAGCGCATTTGGAATAAAATGCATAAACTACAGAAGAGAAACACTGACCGTCTCTTTTAACTGTATCTGATTGAACTTGATGCGAATGAGGCGATGCTGGAATTGGGTGTTGAAGTAGAACTGGTGGTCGGGGGACATTTCCAGTGACTGAAATACAGGGAAAAAGAACAGACAAAGTGAACTTCTAAAGTCCCAGTCTGACATAAAATGGATGGAGGCAAACAGGTATCTTCGTGGGGCAGCTGGAGGACAATGAGGCCGATGTTGATCAAGTCACCAGTGCTCAGGTAGAGGTGAGTCCCGTCGAGTGCGACGGATGAACTCCTGTTTTTATAGGCGAAGGTATGGCATGCAGCCGGCATCAGCAACACGTAACGCCTTATATCAACAGCGTTCCGGTTGAGGAGCAGTACCACGAGTCTATGTAGACATTTCTTCAACGTCTGGTTCTCGGGGCAGTTGACTGCAAATTGGTTTGCCCAAATCAATGAAACCCGTAGGGCAGGCCGAATGTAAGGCCTGACTGGCACACGAGCAAAAACGTAACAGAACAACGCCTACCCGAGTAAACGTAGTAGGGAGTTTTGTACAGCAAACCTACCCTGGCTACACACCATATCCTTACCTTTTAACCTCTTCGAAATGTACGGAGTGCCAGGTAGGAACGAAGACTCCGATAGAGCTGCAGACGCCCTAAACTGCCAAACCATAAGGAACTGTCGATTCCCCATTTGTCTCGCTTGCACCCAGCCTGGTGTGTTGCTCTCAGCAGCCACAACCCGTAGGCGAGGGTAGCTGGTTCACCATCACGCTGATCTAGTGCGCATTGTGTCACCTGTATACGAAGCACACCGCCAAGCCAGCTGCCGAGCCTAGTCTTACTGTCGCTGGAACACTGGCTGTGAGAAGAAAATGGAACTGATACTGCTCAATTAGGCCCTAAGTGGCGCACAGTTTACCTTCGTCATCAACCCAAATGCCTAAAATAGGCCTGCTCGCCCACAATTGTGACGGAGCGAACGCAATGACGACCTGCGCGTTAATTTGTTTGTAATGGAGCCGAGTTTTGCGGCAGACATCTACACAATAGTTCCAGACCTGCACATACGGGACTCGGGCTGATTCCGGCTGTTTTACAACTGCTAACAAGAAACGCTAGACAGCAGTGGAATTTGGCAGTCGTCCGAGTGACAAAAGTCCCACCTACGGACACACCGCCGACTTGCTAACACCAAGGTGGTCCACTTGCAAAACGCAATGCCCCCAGTAAATTGAAACGGGGCTTCAACGCATATCCCATTTCATTTGAATCCTTGTCACAATTTACCTATGCTAAGTGATAGACAGAGTACCAGCTGGACCTATAGGGCTTCAAAGTCACATCGACAGTCAACTACGAAAAAAGTTGCAATTGTAGGGCTGAAAATGTGCGAAGTCATTGTGTTGAGTGCTCTAATATATGATGCGGAAACACAGGCGACAAAGCACGAAATTACATTCTCTTCCACTTGAGGTGCCCCCAAAAGTCTGGACTTGCAAACTTCAGAAGAGATCTGCATGGCCGGTGTCGTAGCAATGGTAAAGTAGGCTCGGTATCGCTAAAGCAACCATTTCGTACAAATATCGGACTAAGGCAGAGTGGAAGGGTAGTTTCACGGCGATATTGCTGTGGAACGTCTCATTTATGTAGAAAGAGAATTAACTTTGAGGGCTATGATCAAGAAGGTTGGAATCAACTAAGGATCCCGGAAAACACCCGGAAGGGATCCCTAAGCGTTCCAATCTGAAGGGGGTTTGAGAATACGCAAGCACAGGATGCAAAACATGAAAGGTAAGAATGCACATTTTCGACGTAAAGAACTCTCATCGCAATCCGTCGGTTTTAGCCTTCACTTTCACACACATTAAAGGTTTGTACGGGGACTGTTGGCACCTCTGCATTTGCCCTAACAGCAATAACATAAATACGCAACACCATGTTAATGAAGGGTGGTAGAGCTGGCTGCCATTGAGCAGCATTCACGAGGCAAGATGGTGGATAAAAACTTCTGGTTTTGTTCGGTTTTGTCAAACAGCAAACCTAGACTGCGATGGCAGAACACCCTTTGGTTGGCTACTTCCGAAAAATGTTGCGCGAATAAAGAAGACAGCCAAGCTGATTAATGATGACTGGGATGGCTGCGATCGTAACGCAAACAAACCACCCTCGAATCCTGCACTACGATCGGAGTACATGGCCTAAGCTGAGCATGGTAGAACGCCAAAATGAAGACGCACCAGGGGCTTCATAATTAACACCTTCTGGCCCTTGCCAGCAGCCAGGGAGAGTAGAGTCCGATCCAGTTGGGTCTTCTCGATTGCCGTGGCCTCTGCGATGGCGGCATAAGAAACGGGCACATCCACAGGACCGTTGAACTGGAGGAGAACGAGGGCCTGGAACTCGGAGACCTGGAGTTCCTTATAAACGCCGGGGGACTGGATGCAGATTGAAAACAGGTGAGAAACGTATGAGGATAAGAAGGACGTACGATAAATAGCGTCAGTTCTATTAAGACAGTGAATAGGAAGGTATTCTGACGCTCTGTTACAGTGAGCTCAGCGGCCAGGTACAGCAAGTGACAGAAACTGATATGAGAATTTTCGGACATCTTAAACGTTGCGCATTTTGCTCGCTAGTCCAACCTCTTCCAGTAAATGTCCTTTTCTTGTGCAGAAAATGTGTCCACATAATTCTAGTAGGCGAATTATCCATAAACTTGAGTGAAAATGGACGTTGCGATATATTCGGGCTATTTCCTATGCTAATACTTGTATTAGACTTCGGTTGCGCATTCGAATGCCTCTTTTTGAGAGGAGAGTAATTTGCTCGCGAGAGTTTTACTAAACAGAGCTTTCCGCACTTGAAAATTGACTTTTTGTCCGATGCCAACCGCGGGAATCAGTTTCCTAACAAAGGTTATTTTTAGAGTACCAGACGTTTTAGCGATTTTTAAGTCCGATAAGCAAATCTGCGCGATATGGTTCCCTAAACTTCAGTAATGACGCACACAGACAATCCTTCGTTTAAATGGGCTGAAATTGTTTCGTCGTTTGGAAAGTTATATTTGCCGTCACAGAAATGGTTACCACCTATTAGTCATTTTCAATTTTGAGCACATAGAGCATTACTTCTCGTGTGGTTTAGCCTGTGCACATACGTAATTTAGAAATGGAACGAGCAAAACATTAACAGCTTCGGAAAAATATCAGTATTTATATGGGCACTCCGCAGTGGATGCAAAATCGTGGAACAGAGCCCAAAAGTGAGCAAAGACGATGAAGATTGACAAAATATAAAACGAAAGGCGTGTTCTTACGTTTGCGGTAGGAAAATATTTGTATTTTTTGAAACGTGAAAGAAACGGACAACTGTCAAATTTTTTGACTTTACAATGTAAAAAATTAAAGTGCGCGGACATCTGTCAACGAAATGCAGCATTAAAGCCCTCCTTAGAAAGGCAACTTATGAGAGGATATTTTCTAATTAATCGAAAGCATGTTCGTTGTTGAATTTTGTTGTGGACGTTCACTGTATTCGAAGATAAGGTTCCCTGTTTGGGTGAGTCTTCAAATGTGACCTAAACGACCTTCAATATGAAAAAGAACGCCAAAACGCTGGCAACTCTGATGAATGCCTTCGAGAAGTATTTCATTTTTAAGTTCTTACCAAACACAATATACAATCCGTCTTAATGGAAAATCGAATATAAACACTGAAAATCATGAAGTGCTCAGCGATATTTCAAGGCCGATCTGAAACTCAATGCAATCCAGAACAAACGAGAAGTGCAAATTAGTTTCACGGAAGAATTATCGTTATATATACAAAATGGCATGTTTACGATTACTCCTCTCAGTGAATTTAAATTTATTAGTCACTGATCCGTCTGGCAGCCTGTACCTCTATGAACACTTTTGTTCCTATGAAGTCCCTATCGGCCAAGTGGGGCAAAATCCTGTTAGCACTTTCGAACCACATCTCAATCAATTCAAAAGCGGGAAAGCGTTTTGGAATGTATCCTCATCACGTAGGCTTTTGGCAAACTGCCATACCTGAAATTACACTAATTCTTAAGAGATTTCTAAATGTAAACCTCACTAAAAGATTATTTTCATGGATTACTCTATTTGTGCTGGCATATTTAACTAGTATTTTGCATAGAAAGGCTTTTGGTACATATAAAACTGAAGTTTACATAACGGCGACCATTTCTGCCGTTTTCGGGATTTTTCGCTTTTTTTATAGAAATTGGCGTTTCTAAATAGCATAATATCATCTTTCATATTTTGTTATGTTTTTAATTTCCTTAAAGTTGCTATTTATTAACATAGGTATTTGATCCACGTACCGATGTCGGTTTGCGAGTGACTAACCACCATTCGTAAATTTCGGCACCTTTCATGTGTTAAGTTACGAACTGCAGTTTGCTGTAAAAAACAGTAAGGATCTAACAGTGGGTTCGCTAAAGCAAAAAAGCACGAGAACTGAGGGACTTTATGAATTCCTGCAAGTCAGCAGATGGAAGCGATCATATACGAGGCACATTCACAGTAGTAGAGGCATTTGCAGGGCGATATCAGACGCCTCCGTGTTAGCCGCAGTGTATTACTTTCACCAACGCCGCGGGGACAAAGCTCTGTAAAGCCTGGCCACTTTTCAAGTGCTCCAGCCTAGTTTTCGACAATTGCCCCAATATTACACCGCTATGCGGCTTCTGATCGAGCACTAGATGCAAAAGAGTTTAGTATAAATCACCAAGTTAAGCTAAAGGTGCGGGTTAATTGAGATGAGGCGAAATCGGTATGTTCGTTCTTCACCGTCGCGCCGTAGGGATTCGCAGAAAATGAGCATGAAAATTGAGTTGTTCAATTAAAAAACGGAAGTGCAGCGATTACTGACCGTGGGAAAGTCGGCCCTGACTACGCAGGTGCCAAGTGAAGGTTCATAGAGAAGCCGACGGCCCTGGTGATGACTGAGGTAGAATTTGGTGAATTCCTCGCGAAGACTCAACATCTGCGTGAAGACACAAAAAGCTGCATTAGTTGTGAAAAATTGGACACTGACAGGTGGTTTCACGTCCCGAGACACATATAATCCACTAGTGCTACCGACAGAAACATAGGGAGACTGAAATGGCCACTTTGGCTAATTTTTCGTCACTATTTAGTCATGCTCCTATCCCAGGTGGTTCGCTTAATTTGTCAAATGGATATTGAATCAGTCAAAATACCTGATTGGGCGGGCAGGAACATGCAGCCATGAGGCAAATGATACACAAAAACGAGCAACTACTCACAGAGGGAGGATAATTGGCGGCAAGCTGCGGATACTGAGGCCACGAGGCCGGGCTGATGACGTTGACATTGAAGTCTATAGGATATGGAGTTTGTTGGGCAGCCCGGAAGTTCTTGCTTAATTGACGGCTAAGCTCGATGTCCTGGAACATGGTCTCCATTTTTCGGGTGTAATTAGGACCACACTCTAAAAAAACAAGGTAAAATCGGCATAAGACTCTTTACACTGAGACCGTTTGTACCTGTTTCAGAAGCGTCGTCAAAGTTACGAAGATGAAACGAACGGAGTGTTCTGGGGCGTAAGTCGGATAAATAGCAAAATCACACAACCCGAAAAGTGCGGTCAGGGAACAGGTCTACTAGAGGTCCTTAGTCGAGCACTCCGCGCAAAATCAAGTCGACAGTCTGACTGCGCGAGTTTCCCCCTACTCGCTAGTTTGCCTTGAGGAAATAAATGCGACGCCACGGCCAGTGCCCCTAGAATGGGCCACGCGGTGGATGCGCTGGACCAACACGGGAGCTACACTGGATTCTGGCAGGCGCTATCGGTAATACGCACCCATAACAAATGCCAACATTCGGGGTGTGGTAGCAGGCCCGCGCCGCGCCGACCGGGATCCCTGCCATCCCCCTACTTTTTGTCGTTGCCTAAAATCCTGGACAAGTGTTTATTGTGGACCAGTGGGTGTGGTAATACGCCTAGGTGCGCCTTTTCGCCCCACCGGCCACTGTTGGCAAGAAAACGCCACAGTGATTACGACGCATCAAAATCAGCGGCCGTCTCATGAAAGCACTCTCCGTAGAACAATATCGACATCGAAAAACCGCCCACGTCTACCCCACCATTATGAGGACTACTCACCGAGTGATATCCTTGGACAGCTCATTTCTAGATTACGAGTGCGATAATGGATGAGGGATGAAAAGTGGTGCACTGCCTATGAAAGTTATGATTGGCTAAAGCAAGGGAATCCCGGACAGGGACCTTACATATTCCGTAAGCAAGAACAATTTTACTAAAACGCATCTAAAAATGATGTCGTCACAATAAGCTTTAGAAACGCGCGAGGGATGCGCTTAAATTTTTAGTAAGATGGGTCAGTAATAGGGGTAAGTTTGTATTCTTAAATAGGACAGAGGATTCTTTAAACTAGAAGGGAGGTTGGCGAGTACTACTACGAATATAGGAGCTAAATTGAAGGAATTGACTCAAATGTTGACCGCCGTAGAACCGCCTCCCAAGGTCGTCAGAAAACAACCAAAATGCGTAAGCGGAAGAATGTTTGGACACACACTGCAGAGGGATTCAAACATAATTACATTTTATTTTGGAAATTACACTAGAGCCATTCCGTTTTGCCATAGAACTCTAGCCTGAATTCCCTGCGGGCGGTCGCGTAGTGGAATGCCGATAACTACAAGCCATATATTCACATACAGCAGCCTCCAAATTGGACAAGAGAAGGAATGAAGATGATCCGTACGACCTACCTTGCTTCAGTTTTGACAGCATGGCCTTTTCGGCATCAACAGAAGCGCTCTTGCCCAGAAGGAGGCGCTTGGCCAACTCCTTTGTGTAGAAGGCCTCAAAAATGTCCTTCCCATATATGAACCGAAAGAGTACCATAGCCTACGCCAGAGACAGAGAAAGAAAGTAATAGGAGCAACAGGTGGGTAAACCAGAACAGTGACTGTCATTTGACCTAAAAGTATACGTCTCTCACCTTGTCCATTATGCGCTCCAGTTCCTCATCTGTTTGCGTTTTGTTGCCAGTGCGCAGGTGAGCGTCTAGATACTTAGCCAGATACTCGGCAGGTTTGTTGGGTCGATTGTTAATAAACTCCTCGAAGGCCTCTTGAAGGGCCCTGTTGAAAGTGGGATCGGCACAGAAGCCCAAACTTATCAGTTGGAGAAGGGAGTCGCGACAGTCTAGGAGGCTCTGGATCATAACTTTGTCCTTCTCGGTCGATTTCTCAGGGTTATCGACGATCGCCTGACCAACCTCCTTGACGTGCGTACGGAATCGAGCCCGCAACAGGTCCACACCGCCATTTACTCTGCTAAGCAGACTGTAAAACAGGTGGAGATCATCTAGACGTCGGTCGCGAATGAGGCTGAGGCTGTTGGCGACGAGGTATTCCATCCGTTTAGCAATCAATTCTGAGTCCAATGTCGCTAGGAGCGGAGTGCGAGTGGTAGCAGGATTTAAGTAGGCATTCAATCTCTCTTCTTCCTCGCTAAGACGCCTGTTAACATGCGCCAAGTAGTCTGATACTGAAAGCTGTTTAATCAGATTATCGGCCTCTTCAGCATAAAACTGTTGACTTTGTCGGAGTAGAGGGCCTTGGACGTCTTTCTGGTAAAGCTGTTAACGCAAAAAACGATAAAATTATGTCTACTCTATTTATAAGAGTAGGAAGGTTTTCGCCAAAACCAATATACTGACCTGAAGGTCCATGTGCATCCGGACGATGGATCGTAAGAGCTGGCGATCAACTGTAGTACCAGTGCGTTCTTTATAGATCTGATCAAGTAACTGCTTCAAAATTTTCGGTTGGATGAGATTATGGGTGAGGATGTGCTCCCTGAACAAATTTAACGCCAAATCCCTGAAACGGAAACAAGAGAAACTTGGAAATACACATGCGTAGAGATTCAGAGGTGAATTCAAAGACACTGAGGGCGGTCTGGTCAACAGTTCGTGTTAGGACTATAGAATGTCCTGAACCCAAAAGACTAGCAATCTACGACTAATCGCCATATCACGATAGCAGCATCATACGGCACCTATCGGATAAGGTGAGAAACCAGGACCGATAAGACTGTAGTAAAGCTGCCTGGACAATCCTAATAGTCAAGGGTGATAAAAAGTAAGACTCGTTGAGCTCATGTGAAAAATTCGTGTAGTCGAAAAGCATTGCTATGATATATACTGTCGTCACCCGACAAGAGTCCGATAGAGATCTGTTATGACCCGCCTGGTACGTGAAATCCCGTGGAGCGTATACGCACTCAACCCTGGTCCCTAATACCAAGGCAGCAGACAAAGAACACACGGCTGGCCACGGAAAGTGTATTAGCAAAACACTGCAAGTCGGGACTAGCTAAGAGTGACGCATATTTATAACACGCTACCGTGGTCGACGGCATTCGGTCCAATGACCTTCGGGACGAGGGGAGTAGCCAATGGGAAGGCGCCTGATTTAGATGACAGCGCTGTAGAGAGAGAGCAAACGCATGTGATCTCCAGTGATTGGTTTGCTCTTGTTTTTGGGAGTGTAGGCACTCCCAACAAGAGCCAAGGAAACTGACGCCTGAATGTGAAGTCAATTATGTCACAGAAAATACTTCAGGCGTCAGAACAACCAGTGTACATATAACACACTGGTTAAGGGAGACTGGTCCTCAGCTCTAACAGTTACTGGGACTGACTGGAATGACCAGGTAAGGTGACTAAGGTGAGCACTACCCTCGATCAGGCCGCAAGAAATAGGGTGTTCACACGCTGGCCAAGTATGTTATTAATGTGATTTCAGATAAGAAGTGTGCCTAGAGATGACACTACTAGACCAGCAAAGGTTGAGAAATGAGGTGTGGACGCGATATCAGAAGGCAAGGCGGTTATGAAAACCCGTGCAATTAATGGGAACGCCAATTCTGCATGGGGCACACAGAAATGGGGGAAGGCTTATAGACAGGTTAGATGGCTGGAGGTGGAAGCACGAATGAGTTGTAGAAAAAAATCCGCAAAAGGGGGCTCACCATAAGCATAGATATTTCGGATTCACAGATGGTAATTGCCGATCCAAAAAGAGGAATATGTTACGGATCATCAGCTAGATAAGAGCGAGGAAGAAAAGTGGAAAAAATATGGATGGTTAGTAGATCTCTGACAACTGAATTAAGTACAAGAACATTATCATAAGAGCCCCATCGAAAGCCGACTTTTAACGTTCTCAGTTTGTCAAAAACAACTAACTAAGAAGCGGGGCACCAAACTCACAACTATAATATTAACGGTAGACTTCTTCGGCACATATTTGAGAATCGGGCAGACTTCGCATAAAACAGAAAGACAGCCTACATTTGTGCCACTACGATAAAGACCTGCAAATCCGTTTAGCAGGTTGGCGTAAAACTCGTATTGAAAACCATGAATGACAGAGAAGACCAGGCTCCGCGAGTAATTAAACGAAACTGAAGATGGAGGTGGTTTTAAAAGTCGGATATTTGCTTTAAACTGAAAATAAATTCGTCGCCATAAGGTACGCCGGAGCACGCGCTGTGTGATCACATTTATAAGGAATTTAAAACAAAGATCGTGGCAGCATTGCTTCAAATGCGATGTTGGCACCAAAGTTTGGTTCACTCTATGTGAAATTCGGGAGTTCAGCATTACCACCGCGGAAGTTGTGTGCATCAGTGGACTTAGCAATTAAATTTCGACTTTCATTGGTCACTCAAGTTATAGCCCTATGGGTCCGCTTTTTCTTCATTCTACTTCTACTCCAACAAACATTGGCCGCGGATGAGAACTAACAAAACCGTGTAACTTTCGAAAAGACCGGGCAAATGGCGTTAAATTATGCCAGTTGGAGTCACCTCCAGCAGTAAGTTACGGCAAAGAGCAGACTTAATGTAACGTAGGACACAACGCCTGGCAATAGGAAGAACGTTAAGTAGCTATGATGGAGATCATTTAACTTTTCCCTTTCTTATTTAGAGCGGCCAAAACGTATCAATGAACATCCAAACTCAGATCACAACCAGTGTAGTGGCTGCGGTAATGGTGGTGATAATTCGGGCAATGACGTATGATCCATGCACAAAAACACTTTTGGCTGATCTCATGAGTTTGTGGCTGGAATATGTAGGAAGTGAGCATAAATGATTAAACTACATGAAGGAAGGGTGGAATTTCGCATACTTACCATCTTATGACAGTAGACTTCCCATATCTGTGAGGCTTTCTTCAGTTGTAAGCTTTCAGTACACACCAAGTGTTAAGGAACCATCCTGACAGACAAAACATGACAAAGAAAAGATACGGGAGGCTGGCAAACGGATGGAAGTGACAATCGAAATTTCGTAGACTACATTATTTGGACGAGGGTCTTGTGGTTAGTAGGGGTCTGAACCCTAGGAAGGTAGGACATCAGGACGAGGGCACATTGGGAACCAAAAAAACTAAACGCAGCATAAGAGCTCTCATAGTATACTCGGCACGCAAACGGTTTAAAAATGAGTAAGTGAAAGGATATTCCAAGAACGTCGGTAACAACTCATTAACGTATACGGTAAACAAGGACTCCAGAGTGTCATACAAAACAGGCACCATTTTGTTAGCACAAACATCCTCAACGTCCTAAAAAAATAGATAAAAGCACAGAATTACTCGATAAAGTTCTTCCAGTGTATACGGGATAGTTTTGTTGTGAAACACAGCAAACGTTGCCTCCCGTAGCTTCGAATGAGCTTTCTCAAATGTAAAGTGGTTTGAGTTTTTCGATTCGGAGACTTCAGTAATAGACTGGTGAAAAACAATATTACCGAACAATGACTTCAGGGAAATGCGTTTTGTAGGCTGCATGCCATTCACGCGATCATGAAGCGGAGTCATTAGCGACATCGTGAGGCAGTATATGTGTAAAACTCTGCAAGATCCCCCTGCTGACAAAGTGGGGCTCAAGTGCGAAGTCTGCAATGGCAGCCAATAAAATACACAACCCTGGAGACAAAAATATCGGAATGGGGCGGGTTTTTATACAATGTTTAAAACAAATGCACACGTGATGATGCGCAAGGTTATTAAAATGTGAACTATTTGGTACATTATTACTGTGGTAAAGGCGGACAAGCCATGAATTACAACCTGTGGAAAGCAAAAGTATATATGTATTGGAATCTTCCGTTGTCTTGGCCGCATAAATCTCTCTGGGAATGAGCTCCAATTCAGATTTGTACTGGCGACGTAAAGCATCATGACTAAGTTAGCCGGATTCATGCTGCCAGTTTGCCAGATAGTTAGGGATCTCTTTGCGTTGTCGTTGGTCGGTCGGCGAATTCCGGCGAAAGTTCGGCCGGCTGGAAATTTAATCTGAAGTACCGTATGTAGTGTGTCGGGCCGCCTGCGTGACAGCTTGTTAGTAGTTGCTTTGTTGTATCTTCCGGCCTGGTCCTTATATTTACTAGTCCTCTGAGAGTTTTGACACAGTAAGTTTCTAACATGGACTAAGTTTTTTGACTTCACAATGGTAGCTGGACTTGTACATCATTTTTTCTTGCTGACAGTACCAGGGCTTCGACTCTTTTTTTGCGGGCCACACGACTGACAGGTGGTCAAACAAGGCTTTGTACGTCGTTTCGAGAGATTAGTGAGCCTTTGGCAATGATGCATATGGATTTAGCCAACAGAATAGCCTTCCTCGTCCAGGGTTCTCCCCAAATATTTTTCCATACAATGCTGCACTCTAGTTAATGTTAATTACCCCACAAATTTTAGACCACAGCATTTTTGTCTTCCACCAATTACTTTGTCCCAGCAGCTTAATCTTTCGCCACCAGCTCCCCCTTTTTTATAAGTTGCAAGGAGTCGAACCTACCTATTAGGAATACGCTCAGTATTGTCTCTCTCAACGCAAGATCAGTCGTGCAAAGGATGGCACACCTAAGAAGTGTGGCTGTTGACTTTGACCCAGGCGTATTGTGCATTGCATTCTCTAATTTCAGACTCGGCATTCAATATAGATAGCCCCAGTTTATACCACCAGGATCGTGTCGAAAGACACGGCGGTGGTTGCCTTCTTTACATCAGATCCTCACTTGCACAGTCGCCTTATGATCTGAACATTTCCTCCTTCTCTGGAAATTTATGTTTCGCTACGTTAATACTTCCGCAAAATAGGAAAGCCTTAGTCGGATGCGTACATAATCCTCCTTGTTAATCCAGAAATGAAAGCCAACTCTGTGAACTCTTTAAAAAATTGCAGAAACTCCTTTCGATGTCAAGATTATCTTAGGCAATTTGAATTTGCCAGAAATTGACTGGCACACACATACTTCCTCTCCTTATTTCCAGAAGCTTCTTGACACCATTAACTTTTCAAACCTGTCTCAATTAGTCCATTCTTCGGCCAGAAACGATACTGTATCAGACTAAGTTTTCACTAATGGCACCTTCGCTCGATCTATAAATCTCTATCATGACCTCTTTGCAAGTGATCTTGCATTAATTCATTGTCACCTTGCGGTTGCCATTTCCGCAAAGTCAACAGTACAACGTAGTATTTTTGACTTTGGTAATATTAACAAGGAATTAGTAAATGACTTACAAGTACTCTTGATTGGTACAATATTTTTTCAAATAATCATCTAAATTTTTTTAATAATTTATTACAATGCGTAACATAGGGGTCTTCTCGACCTACTTCCACGGAAGACGTTTAAACCGAGTGCCACTTCCACCGCTGTCCCACACTTTTTTAAAACATACTTAAGAGGCTGCGGAAGCAGTTTAAAGATCCTTCTGTGAGCTCATTATCTGTTCATCTAAAAATCGTCGAAATATTTGAATCAGCTTCGAAAATGAGGCTCGCGTGAGATAGGCGTAGAGAGTCTTTAGCTATTAATAATTTGAGAATTTTGTTTAATGCCCTTTAGAGGCATTGCCAAGGAAAGCGTTAAACACAAATCCGATCAGTAGTGAAAAAAACTCCTGAGGTAAAGGAATAAAAATATAGTTGATGCCGGTTTTTATGGTTTGGAGGGTACAGGAGAAAAACCTGCTGGCGGCATACATTCGATCGTCAAGAAGGGTGGGGGGGGGGGTTGCGCGGTATCGGAGATTATCGGACGCCAATTCCTTCCACGAAGTTTGGGATAGTCTAAGTAGAGGCGTTGAGGAACAGCTGTCGCTGTTTGCCAACGAAATTGTCCATGGTGACACAGACCATAGTGTTTAGAGACCACAAACGCCATCGCTACGGTACAGTCGATCAGTGGATTCAGCACTCAAAATTTGTGGGAGCTTTTCTGAATGCAAAAATCGAGTTATAGTTCTCCCAAATAATCGATAATTTTGCAGAGTTTTCACACTCATGGGTAGTTTATTCCAAATAGCAATTGCATTGACAGAAAAGAACCGACGATATTTAACAGTACGTGCCAGAGGAAGAAATAAAAAGACCTCACGGTGACCGTTACGTTGTGGGTGGAGGTGGTGTCTAAAAGGGGTGAGTGGGTTAAATGTCTGATTATATAAGAGTTTAAATAGCAAAAATAGTCAGTTTGTAATCTACGGAACCATAAAGGATCAAGGCCCGTAAGCCGGCAACGTTCTTGGTAAGACAAATGTCGGTGTTCCGGGGTTAAAATTCTCTTGGTAAAAAAGTGTTTAACGGATTCTATTTTCTTCCGCTCAGCAGCACGCATGAGGCTAAATAAAAACGAACAGTATTACAGGCCTGGTCGAACGTACATGTTGAAAAGGCGCATTCTAATGTCCCTAGTTTTAAAGTTTCGGAGGATAAACCTGGTCGTTCTGCCTGCTTTGGAGACTATAAAGGCACAGTGCTCCGAGAGATTGAGACTCTTGGAGTATGATATGCCCAGATCCTTAATAACCCCAGGCACATTTATGGCATGACCTTCAATACTTAGTTGAGGTTGGCGGTCGTCGCCAACCACCATGACTGAGCACTTATGCCAGGAAAGAGAAAGGCGCCATGTGCGGCACCACTGGGTGAAAGCCTGTAGATCGCTCCTTAGGAGCTCAAGCACGACGTCACGATCTGCCGGCTTATATCGATATGCAACTTTAAGATCATCGGCATACATGAAAGGCTTACCATTCTGAAATAAATCGGGTACATCATTAACGAAAAGCAAAATAAAAGCGGGCCGAGTACACTACCCTGAATGACTCTACTCCTCACACGTGTGGGGTTGGAGATAGTATTGGAAATCTTAACGCGTTGTGTACGAGTGCCCAGGTAAGAGGATATAAAATTCAAAAGTTTGCCACCTATTCCGAAAGAGGACAGTTTCAAGAGAAGAATAGAATGGTCAACACGGTCAAAGCCTTAGTGAAATCGAAATATACTGTGTACAGTGCAAAACCATTGTCTTAGATTGGGGAACATAGTCAAAGAAAGATAGTTAACAGGTGTCACAAGACCGAGCTTTGAGGAATCCATGCTGAGCCGCACTCAGTAGGTTATTCTCTGTTAAGTGACACATCATCTTATCTTTGATCAATGTCTCTAAGATCTTCGAAACTGCGGGGAGGGTGTTTATTGGCCGAAAGTCATCAAATGACGTCAAGGTCGAGCCGCTGCTTTTAAATTTGAAGATAAGCGGAGGATATTATTTTAAGTGGTATTTCTGTGAGACCTAACGATTTTAGTACCTGTTTTTTTGGTTGAATTTCCTTAAATACAGGCCTCTTCCCTCAGAACTGCCTGCTGCCATCTCCTTTTGAGTTCTGCTAGTCTATGCCCGTTGTTCGCTAATCGCACTCTGCAATTCTCATTTTGTGCATCCGATTTCTCTCTAACTGTTGTAATTTATTTTTACATCATTAGCCCCTAGCTGAAATTCAGTCAACTTGTCTGCCAGAAGTTTTCCTAATCACAAATTGCCGCGAGACAAGATGAGACCAAAAGTCACTGGTCGACGTAAGCTCTCGGCTTCTGTAAGTAAGCATGGCCTAACTAAACGTAAGTCAGAAGCTTTACCTAAATCTAAGTCAGATGATATTACTAGTCAGTCGTCACCCGTTGTAACTGATCGGCAGCTTAATCTGTTTGCACTTGACCATTGCAATGACTTTATGCTAAAGTTTGGCACTTTGCTGATAATTCTTAGAAATTTATTCGACTGGAACATATCCGATATTCCCTCTGAAGAATGTAGGCGTCTCGACTCACTTGTTCACCTGATCGCCAGTGAATCTAGTGATAGACAGAAGCGTTCTTACAACTTCCTGCTAAAAAATGTTCCTCGATCTGCTCGGCCAATTGATGTTGCGACCAGTTTCCTGTATTCATGTGGTTTCAACTATAAAATAGCGGATGCCAAACGCTTGTCATCCCGTAATACAAATCCACCCATCTTAGTCAAATTGTTTTCATCAATCGAGGTTGACACAATCTTTACCCATCGAGAGCGTGTCACTGCGTACCTAGAACATTCAAAATTTTTCCTTTGTCCTGATCTTACTCCTATGGAGCTTAGAATCAGGTCTCTATTCTCACGTAAACCCACTGCTTCTCAGTCTAATGCTCCCTAACTCGGTCATAATTCAAGTGGCCGTAAGGATTCAGCTTGTCCTAATTCTGCGACATCTGACGCCCTCCTTCCTCTTTCTCCTACATCTGCATCTCAATCAAGCCACTTGACGCATTTGCCTGCCCCTAAACTAACTGCAGCAGCAGCAGCCCCATTTGTCGTTTCGTATCCTCCGGATAGTCCCGCTGAGACACATGAAAATCCGTCTACATCAGCTAGACCGATAACTTCTATTGTCCACCTGGGTGCTGTAATGTCTACAGTTAAGTCACCCGTGGCTTGGCGTCAGAACGGTGGGACTCGAAAATTGAATCAGACTCCGACCCAAAAAATAGGTAGTAC